TATATATATATATATATAATTAAATACATTTGTTATAATAATAAAGTTAAACATTTTAAGTAAAAGATTGAAGTCTTAACATATCAATGTTTACACATTCTAATAAAAACATCAAAATTTTAAAGTACTAAAAATTTAAAGTTCTAAATATACCAATTAAAAATCAAAATCTATTTGTTTTAAAATAAAATATATTATTGTTAAACAGGTTAGATTAAATCAGTAAAATGTGCAAACTTAATAAGTGAGGAGGTGATGAACAAGTTTTTAAAGAACATATGTCCGTATCCAAGATTAACAAGTCGGTACGCAAAGCTTGGCCTATTCGTAACAAGATAAAAGAAAATTAAACATATATATCATCTCATTCATACATCAATTAGTGGGCTACATGTGTGAACAGATTGACAAAATGGTCACGCGGCTCATTGACTTCAACTCCTATAATATAAAATGAGGAAATTAACCTCAAGTCAAAAGTGGAAGTGACCATTGATATATATATATATATATAATATAATTATATATATATATATATATATATATATATATATATATATAACAATTATATCAAACATGAGATATAACCACGATATTCATATGTCCATATTCACTTATATTTGATCCCATTATCTCTCTTAATTTTTTTTTCTTATTCTATTAAGTGTGTGTTTGAATTTAAGTCGAAAAAAATTTTAACCAAAATTTGTTTAATAGAAATTTTTCGTTCAACAGAAAAGCAATATAGGTATTACTTTAGTGTAACGTACGTTTTGAAGATAATAAAGTTTAACATAACATATAAATAAAAAAAAACTATCAAATAAATGGGTACAACATTAAATGAGAATTGAACGTTTGAGTGTCTAAATGGCAAATCAAATACACCCAAAATCTTTCTATTCTCTTTGTTTTCTTTCCCTTTTTTACTAAGTGGGTATACGATGATAAATTTTGTAATAAATCAGAAGGAAGTATTAATGTGTCATTTATAAAAAAATGACGAAAAATCAATTAATTGGATGCATGCAATGAAATATGGGAATGAGAGAAATTAGAAGTGTTGTTATGATGTTTAAAATATTGGCCTTCTAAAACTCATAGCTTGATTATTTATGGACACATGCACTCTTCATTTCTCTCTTTCTTTTTTTCTTCTATCATATTAATATATCACCATTTATATCATTCACTTATCTCTTTTATCTTCTATAATTTATACACGAGTCTAAACCTATACCAAGAAAGTTGTCCATGGACGTGTTTTTAAAAAAAAACACTAATTCCATAAAGTGTTATTCTCTTTCAGCCACTAGGTGCAAGTGCAAAGTGCAATGACACCACTAACACTAAGGAATCCCCCGCGACACGTTCCTTCAAATTAATCATGACATTCACCAATAAAATAGTAACTGGTTAGGTGTTAAGGAAGCTACTAGAATCAGATGCTACTTCACCACGTGTATATATATAGGGTCCCTTACCTCACCCTTTTGCACCAAACTACAACACTTTAATACATTCTCTCCATACACAGCAGCCACATTCATATAAACCATCACATTCTCATTCTCATTTCCATATTGAGTTTGTGCCATCATAGATATGGCAACCTCCAAGGTCTTAGGGGCTGCTTTCATTCTTTTGCTCATTGTGGACCTTGCATTTGCTGCTAGGGTTACAGATAGGTTATTTGGTGGAAGAGGTGGTGGGGGTGGCGGCGGAAGCGGAGGAGGAGGTGGCGGTGGTGGTAGTCTTGGACGTGGTTCCGGGTATGGATCCGGGTACGGGTCGGGCGGTGGTGAAGGGTATGGTGGAGGATCACAAGGAGGTGGCGGCGGCGGAGGTGGTGGTCGAGGAGGTGGTGGCGGTGGAGGCGGCGGGACGGGTGGTTCGGGGTACGGGTCGGGGTATGGTTCCGGGTACGGGTCAGGTGGTGGTGCAAATGGAGGAGGTGGAGGAGGAGGGGGTGGCAAAGGTGGTGGAGGTGGTGGTGGTGGAGGTTCTAATGGTTCAGGTTATGGCTCTGGCTCTGGCTCTGGATATGGTGAAGGAGGTGGAAGTGGAAGTGGAGGAAGAGGTGGCGGAGGTGGTGGAGGAGGAGGTGGTGGTGGCGGCGGTGGTGGAGGTGGTAGTGGGGGTTCTGGCTATGGTAGTGGCTCAGGGTATGGTTCAGGATATGGGTCTGGTTGGGGTGGTGGAGGAAATGGAGAGTACCCTTAAACCTATGAATTAAAGAGTTGGTTTTTGTTTTAGGCATAAATATAGTATAATAGGTAGCATTCAATCTTCTTGTTGCCATACATAATATTACCAAAAATAATTTGCAGTGTGACTCTCGTACGTGGTCGTCCTGCTTCATGCATGCATGCTGGTGTTATGGTTAGGCATATTGGTTGCTATACATATAAAAAGTAATTACTGTGTATCATTGTAGATGATGTTATAAATATCATGACATTAATAAATTCTCTTTCTCGCTTTATCTCTTTCTCTACTTGAGAAAGGACGTATAACTTAACAAAGTGGTGCAAATTCACAGAACTTCTTTCCATTTATAAACCATATATATTAATACATTAATTGTTGAATTAAATTTAACTTTATCATACAAAGAAAGCTGAATACAACTATATAGAAAGCATGAGAAAATAGATTCTTTTCGTACATAGTATGATAACATGATTTAAAAAAATCAGTTCAGTAACGCATCAAAATAAACCACATTTAACTAAGTCACTTAAATATTTTTTAAGTAGTGCATTCGTAAACGTGAAAAACATTTATAAATTATAACGTAAGTCATGGCTTCGAAAGGAAATGTTCCGTACGTTTATTACTTGATAGACAAATCTTGGTCGCAAAGCCATTAATTATAAGCATATAGCATGCAGCTTGAGGAGCGTGGACCACCTTAAGAAAGTGATAAATTGATAACGTAATCACTAACGATGGTAACTAGCTAGTGGATTAGGTGAGTGAGGGGTGACTGTTCACTAATCCCTGACTTGAGTTGCCTACACTGATAGGTCGGTCCTAGCAAGGACGAATGAACTTTGGAGTTTGGACTACTCATTTCTTTTAAATTCCTAATTTGTATTTTTTTTTTCTGTTATGTCATATTATATATTATATGTATATTCTTTTTCTTTTTCTCTCTCATTATATGTCAAATAGGTTTTTGAGTGTACAATAAAAATCATTTTTCTATACCTAGCTATTAGTGAAAATTTTCTATTGAAACCTATAATATATATAGAACAAGAAAAGGTTTGGGTTAACAGCCAAACTCAAACTCTAGTTGACACTCAGAGAGAGAAGAGATAAAATAATGTATGTAAGTATGCCACGTAATAATTACGGAAAGTAAAGATAAAATAAAAAAAATTATAGATGTTAATGAAGTGTTTGGAGTGATAAAAAGGAATCACTTTTTGTTGATAAATTCCTTTTCTTTACAAAAGGGAAAAGATTGGTGGATATCAATCACTACTTAATAACAAGAGAGAAAAGGAAAAGAAATGTAGGTATAATAAAAAATAACATGCGAAGACAAAGACCAGAAGAAAAACTATAATTGTTGATAGAATGTATATGTGTGGTGTCTGCTCATTATCTAATTAGCAGTTTGTGGGTCTACCTTTTTCCTACACTAATAAATCCTTCATGACCAACAAATAATAAGATTTTTAAATTATATTATTATATTTTCATATTTTTTTCTGTATCTCCTTTTATCCAATCATTCATCTTATCTCACGCTTTTCTTTAATTATATGTTGTTACTTTTTATTTTCAGTATAATATTAAAAATATAGTTAACATAAATAATAACAAGTCATAATTAAAGAGGTACACGCTGCATAGTAAAAAAAATGCACATGATAGACAATTATATTTAATATCATGAACTCCCCCCACCCCTCTTTTTATGGTTGATGCTCTCAATTCTGATCTGTATTTATAGTTTCATTTGACAAATAAAAAATTATATAATGAAAATATAAATAAATACGTACTGTTAATCTGTTATTCAATTATAAATTGATATATATATATA